CTGGGCGTCGCCGCCGCGGTGGGGGGGGGGGTGACGGCGACGCGACGGCGGATGAAGACGAACGCGCCGAGCGCGACGGAACGCGTGCTCGACCGGTACGCCGAGTTGATCGTCGAGGAGTACGACATTCCGCTCGTGCCCGATTATTTCGAAAGTGACGTGTACAGAGAGGTGTGTAAGGCGACGTACGCGGCGGCGAAAGAGAATATGGAGATGAATCTCAAGGGGGCGAGCGTGTTGGGGCATCCGATTGTGATGGAGGACACGCTGGCGACGGCGCACGCGCCGCGAAAGAGCGGGATCCGTCAGAGCGAGTTGAAGCAGTTCATCGATACCGCGGTGGGAGAGACGAGTGGGATTCCGTTCATCTTGCCGGGTTCGCTCGAGCGCGAACTGTACACCAACGCGGTGATCACCGGTTGGACGGTGTTCGAGGATACGCTGAAGACGTTTCACATGCAACTCTTCAATCGAGAGTTCGTGTTCGACATCACGGACGCCGAGGATATGAACGCGAGTGGGACCGTTCGACGCGGGTTGACCCGTTCGAAGACGTCGGTGAGCGGGGAAAAGTTGGACACGATGCCGCAGCTTTCCTCGGCGACGCTGCGACGAATCGCTCGCGAGGAGCTCGAGGCGCCGGCGTTCACGAACATATTCCCACAACTTCAGGAGAACGTCGCCAAAGTCGCGGTAGGGATGTTATCGCAGGCTATGACGATGCAGATGAACATTAAAGGATTCTCGATCGATTTCGCGCTCGAGCCGTACAGCGAGGATACGAAGGATGCGTTTAAGAATGTATCATTCTCTGAGGCGGATCGCGAGATCACCGCAAAGTCACTCGAGGAGCTCTTCGAGGTCTTGGTGGACGAGTACATGGATACGCGCGCGATGGCAATCTCATCGGTGTTTCTGCCGCGAGTGGTTGAGCGATCGACGTACATAAATCTCCTCAGAGGACTTTTTGGCGAGCTCGGTCGGGAGCCGGTGATGGAAAATTTGGGCTTCAACGTCGCCATGCGCGTGCAGCGCGTCGACACGCCGGCGTCACCGGAGCTCTCGTACGATGACGATTCGATCATAGAGGAAGAAATGCGAGGGTTCGACAGCTTGACCAAGGCGACGACGAGTGGGATGCCGAAGAGCGATGTTTTCAAGCGCATGGGGGATGAAATGCTCAGCGGTGATTTCACCTCCTTCGCAAACGCCGCCAAGTCGTTGCTCTCGGGCAGCGCCAGGAACGGCGACGGAGAGGACGACGCGAGGCAGGCCGCGAAGGCTGAAAGGAGGCGCAAACAAAAGGCCACGCGCGAAGCAATATCTGAGTTTGTCGATTATATGCTAAAGGATCCGATGTTCAACGTCAAGGCAGTGCCGGATAACATCGAACGTCTACTGTACATCAACTGCTTTGAGCTCATAGTCGACGTCATATCGACCTGTCTCTCCGATTTCGAGCTCGACATGCTCGGAAGACGGATTCGTATGCAGGTAAAGGAGGGAACGCACAGAGATATGCGCGAACTCGTGCGCTTCCGACCGGACGTGAAGGCATTGAAGACGTACACGAAGCCTTTTGAGGACCTTCCGGGGGTGGAGGAAATCATGTCCAACGTGTACGCATTCGTGCTCGCGTTCGTTGCCGTCGTCGCGTCCGATTTCCAGCTCATCGTCGTCGGTCATAAGATCACGATGAGCTTGACCACGGACGCCGACGCGATGTTGATGCTCTCCACAGAGGCAGCCGCGACGGATTCCCTCAATGAATCCCTCGTCGCCGCCATCGAGGCGTTTTCCATGGACGTCTTCGCCGTCAGCTCTCGTCAGAACCTTGGCCCGAGCGGCAATGCCAAGAGCGGTGCGTTGCTGACGGACATCGACTTTGACAGGGAAGTGTACGCGCTGTTCGGGAAGTACTCGTCCGAGCCAGACAAGAGCTTCCCATTTCCATACCTCAATCAAATGCAGTTCGCACGGGCTATGGACGCGCTCGTCGCCCGACTGCTCCCGAAACTCACGAAGTGGGACTCGCGCGAAGAGACTGTGCGCAAAATTTCGAAGGCTGCTGATCTCAACAATGATGGTGTCATCCAGTGGGCCGAGTGGTACTACGCCGCAAAGGCCATCGATCAAGCCATCCGAGCCGCCAGTGAGCGAGCGGAGGGAGCATAAAGCGACACCGAACGTTAGAGCGTTTTTACCGAACTGTGTACGAAGTATTTGAGCAAATGACATCGCATTCGCAATTTTTTTCTTACATCGAGCGTTTTACAAGTGCGCATCCTTCTTCTTTTGTTCCGTCGTACTCCGCGGTGACTTATTTTCCTCCGGCGCGACCACGTTAGTCCGCGCACGGTCTCCGCCTTGGGCCTGACCCTCAGAAGCCTTTTCAACTTTAGACGTCTCTTCATTCGGTCCCGAAATGAAACTCTGAGGCATCTCAACGCGGCGCTTTGGCTCGCGTTTCTTCTTGCGCACAGTGCCACCCACGAGGCCCAGAAGTAACGATGTGAACATGCTCGCTCCTATCGCCGATACGACACCCGCCACGGCCTTTCTCTTGTACCTGCGCACAAATGCCTTCAATTCGTCCGTGCTCAATAGACGGATGTATCGCTGCTTGGTCGGCGGAGGCGGAAGTCTCTTGTATTTTGCCACGTACGGGATGGCTTGTCGCAGCTTTGCCCAACGCCCCAAAGATTTTTGCTTTCGCAGTCCCCTCATCTTTTCTTTCTTCATCTCGCTCGAGCCCATAAAATGGAACGCCTTGACATTATGCTTCGGTTTGTTGAACAACGGATCATCAAGGCGTTTATCGAGGACAGAAAGCAGACCGTTGAGTCCGTTGAGAACGCCGCGAAGACGCGCTCGAGCTGCTATCAATTCTCGAGCCTCTTTCCTCGTTAGAAGCTTGCTCGTTTGCGACTGCAGCATTGCTAATCGCCGAATTTGGAGTTGCAGGGGAAGCATCCATCGGAACCACGGATCGGCTTGCAGGTTCTCTTGCTGCGCGGCCAAGACGTCGCCCACGTTGGCGGTGTTTCCTTTCTCGAGTTGATCCTCAACCGTGCGCTCGTACAGAAGTTGCGCCTCCTCGAGCTTCATCACGAATTCTGTATACAACATATGCGGATTAACTTTAGTCTCGCCGACACTAGAGTCGTTTCCAGTCTTAACTGCGTGCGTGTTCAATTCGCCAAACACTTCCGCAAGGGCGACTTGTGTATCACGGAACAGACGCATGGGGAATCGACTGAGCCGCTCCATGGGCTCGGCGCTCTTCAATCCAACCCGACGCTTCACCTCTGTTTGAGCCTCGTCGTTCTTTTTGAAAGCCGCGTTCACCGCATCCGTCAATGACTTGTCAATCTGACAGAAGATGGACTCACGTCGCTCGTCTTCTTCCGCCTCGCCCTGCTCCAGCTCTCGCACATGAGCGCACGCAAACACCTCCATCAAACGCTCCGTTGGCTCTGTCGCGTCGTACCTATCGTCTCCGACCTCAAACTCATACGCCACGCGATCGAGCTGCTGATCTAAAGCGTATTGCCACGTATCCTGTTCGCTCACGCCCTCCAACTGAACGCCACGCTGGAACTGTTCCACCCAATGCAGGTACCGACACAATCGAAACAGCGTCGAGTTCACCGCCTCGTTCGGGTTATCCGGATAGTGCGCCGAGAAGTAATTTGCCCGAATCTTCGGCGGCTCCCCAGGCTTCCGCCTCGGCGGCGTTCGTAAGATGAACTCCAACCTATTCCTCAAATCCTTCGCCGCCGATCGCAGTGGCCCACTTAGCAACCGCCGCACCTGAGCCAACCTCGCCTTTCTCTCCTGATGCTGCCGTTGCACCTCCCTTCGCGCCTCCTTCATCTCATCCTGATACCCCCCAACCACTTTATACGCCAACATCGCCAAGAACAACCCGCTCAACGTCCCCGCCGCGCCGGCGACCACCTTGACCGCCATGTTCGTCATCAACGTCTGCTGGATATTCCCGACGCCCTTGATCTTCTTCCCGATCGACCCCACGCCCATGCGCGCGCGCCGTAACGCATCAAACGAATCTGAACTCTTACCGTTGTTTCTCCGTCGCGCGTCGTCGTCCATGAAACGCTCCAGCGGTCCCGGGAGCTTCACTCCGGGCGGGACGCGCAGGGCGAGGGGTCCTAAAGAAATCATTCTGTGCGAACCATTTCGGTCTTTAGTGGGGCGTTTTTTGTCGTCATCGCCGTCCCGTGTCGGACGTAGGCCCGGTATGCGCATCGGTGTGCGCTCGGTTCGACGTGGGAAGCGATTTTCGATGCGTCGGAAAGTGGAGGGGAAGTTGGGAATCGAGTTAGTTGAGCGGGAAAGGATGAAGCGGAGCGGAGCAACGCGAGGTGAATGATGGAATGTAGTAGACAGTGCGGTATACAGTGTTCGATCATCGCTAATGATGCATAAACGAAAGAGCGCAATCGAAGAGCACGCAGGCGTGGTCGGACGGGAACTGCGCGTTCGGGAACATGGCGGACGGATCGAAAGCGAGCGCCTTTGGTGGATCCACCGTGAAATCGATCGCGTTGACGCGAGCGATCGCCACGCTCGACGCGATCGTTGCGCTGGTATCGTCTCTGAGTGTTACGAGGACGTGATCCTTGGGGTGGCGATCGGTGAGCTCGCTCGAGGCGCACTCGTCTCGTTTGATGGCTTTGTTGAGCTGCGCCTGGAGAAACGTTCGAGCGCTGAACGTTGTCATCGCATCGCGCTCGATGTCAACGCCAGCGAGCGTCCAGCACGACGCGAACTTTGTCGAAGACGCGACAAAATCAATTAAGTCGCGCGCGCCCTGTTTCTTACCCTCTCGATGGAAGACGTGTGTGTTGGCGTCCATGCCGAAGACGCATCCATCGACGACGCTCGCGTTCGCCGAGCACCAATCCTGAACCGCGCCCGTGATGGTTTTCGTCTGTAAACCGTCTGTATCACCGTGATACGAGCAGAACAACACCTTGTGCGCCAAGAAGGCGCAGAAATCACCCTTGGAAAACTTGGTCACGCCGTCGCCAAGCGTCTCCAAAATCTCACTCGTTGCCTCCGTGATCTCGCACCCTCGCGTGAACGCCTTGGACAAGACGATGATAGAGTTTTGATCGCGTTTGACGTCCATGTCTTTCGGTCGGAGCACGTCGTAGCGCGATTTCACGTGCGGTCGCGCCTCGAGGGCGTCGGCGAGAGACGCGCCGACTTCCTGTAGAAAGCACGCCGCCGTCTGCGGCGTCACCGCGTCACCGCTCGAGAGAAAAATCTTCTCCAACGCGTCCAGCGTGCGAGAAAACTTATGTGTCACTAAATCGTCCACCAATTTAGCCCGAACGTCTTGCCAACCGGTGAAAGACCCAGCGGCGCTCGTCGCCAAGGTAACCAACGCCTGGTCGAACGCGTACAGGTAAAACACTTGTAAATCGATCCCCAACGCTTCCTCCTCCTCGCTCACCGCCGGATACTTCGCTCTTTTGATAGGAATCATCAGATCCATCACTTTTCGTTCTCGACCATCGACGGAGACGAACGTAAAGTCGAACATGTATTCGCTCCAACGTCGAAACCAATCGTCCTCGCTCGTCATCCGCTCGCCGTAACAGTTAATAACCGTCGGTCGCATCCACGTCCGCTCCCCTTTCGTCACAGAATCCATGGCTCGTATAGTATTCGTTACGCGATCCGGCATCGAACACAACCGTTTCGAACCGATTTCCGCATCTAAAAAGAATGCCGCCGCGTCGCGCGCCGTAACGTCCCGCTCGAACGCCGCGCGCGCCCTCGCCACTCTCCCCGCATCTCGCCCACACGAATGCACTAAAGCGCGCTCGATCGCGTCTAAACGATCGTTCCGACACAGTGACGTCTCTATTACCGTTCGCGCGCCCGATGCCGACGCGCTGGGCTTCGTCGAAGTGTCTGCACACAGAAACCGCTCACACGAAATAATAAACGCTGTGACATCGTCCTCGTCGTTACTCTCCTTCCCGGACGACGCGTGGTGCTCGAACGGGTTGTTATTGATCGATGCTACGTTCCACGTGGCGAATCGCCATCGCGAATGTGCGTCGTGCGCCATGGTGTGACGATTGGGACGGAGTCGGACGGCTGATCGCCGCGCGCGACGTCGAATCGGACAACTATTCTGCCGTTGCGGTTATTCTGTTCTAAGATCTCTTGTACATTTTTTATCTTACACATCACGGTCTACAGCCACACGCCCGGCGCGCTCCAACGAGCCGCTGTTCCTTCCGGTCGAACGAACGTCAACCCGCTCGTGTCCACGCCCGCGTCGTCCTCGATCACCGCCGCTGCCTTCGCGAGCGCGTCGTACGCGTCTTTATCGACGCTACACCTCAACGCTCGATTTATCGATTTATTCTTCGTCGCTCGCGCGACGCAACACCTCGTCTTGCACACGTACGCGCTTCGTCCACACGCTCCGTCGGCGTCCGCTCCGTACTTCACAGTCGTCGTTTGTTTCCCATTGTCCAACGTCACGGAGCACCGAACGATTCGAAACATCGCGTCCTTCGCCTCTATTTTCTCGCATCCGACGCACGTTCGAGCGTTTCGCTCGCGCATCTCGGGCCGGGTCCAACCTTGACGCGCCTTCGGCTTGCGACATGCCCTGTCGCGCGCGCGCTTTTTCGGTTTCGCCGCGCTCCGATTCCGCTGTCTCCGCGCCGCGCGCGCCGTCTCCGCGTAATACGCGTCTAAAATCACTCGACGCCCGTGTTCGAGCTCGATCTCTCGCGCCCGGGTCGAAATATTCGCGTCGCCGCCGGACGCGACCTCCGCGTGCTCCGCGAGCGCGCGCGCCGCCTCCAGGCTCGCCGACGCGTTCGTCCGCGCCAGCGCCTCCGCGCGCTCGATGAGTTTCACCGCACCCCCGCACGCGTCCGCGAGCGCGCGCGAGGTCTCCACCGCGCCGTGCGCGACGAAAACAGCGTCATTCGCTCGTCCCGACGACGCCGCCGCGAACATTCTCGAATTCGTCCCCCTCCGCGCCTCTCCGCCCCCGCGCGCCCGTGCGCGCGCGCGAACGCACGCGCGCGCGCCCACGCCCGCGACGCGCGTCATCACGCGCGCGCGCGCGCGTCCACGCGTCGATGAATGTCGATCTCGCGCCCCGTCGCCCGCGCCGCGCGCTCGTGTACAACACCCCGCCCACGCCCACGCCCCGCGCGCCCAGACGTCGTCGACGTCCGCGCGTCCTACCGTTCTCCGCTACGCCCTCGATCGAGCGCCCGTCTCCGATCGAGCGCCCATCGGTCTCTCCGTCGCCGCGACGCGCGCCGCGACCGCCTCGCATCGCGTCGCCAATCCCTCGCACCGCACCGCCAGCGCCTCGCACCGCGCCCGCGCGCGCGTCAACCCCGCCGCGCACCGCGCGTCCGTCGCGCCCTCGAGCGCGCGCGCGGCGTCGTCGAGCGCGCGCGCGAGGGCGTCGATCGACGCCGTCGCGCACGACCGCGCCATGGCGTTCGCGCGCGTCGTCGCCGTCACCGCGTCTTCGCACGCGCGCAGGTGCGCCGCGG